TTTGACGTTTCTCCCTAGTTATTATATTAATGACTGGAAGGTTTCATTATATGAAGCGAGTAGGATACCTATAAACCGCACGTCTTTGACGTTTTTTCCCTAGTTATTATATTAATAACTGGAAGGTTTCAATATATGAAACGAGTAAGATCCCTATAAACCGTAAGTACCTAGGTACGTCTTTGACGTTCACGCAGGTTGAAACTTGAAACTTTGACATATGCCTGGCGTCGCCGCGTCTCCCAGGATTTAGTCAACTGCGTCGTGAGGATGCGTCCCTGGTAGACATTATCAGGGACGTTCCTCCACCATTACATTAATAATTGGAAGGTTTTCATTACATGAAACGGGTAGGTTCCCGACCGTGATCCCTTGGGCGTGTTTTTTGTGGAGGTTATCACTTCCTGATGAGGAAATTTTTCCCCATAGACTGTTATGCAGTCTCCGGACTCTCAAACTTTGAGTTTCATTTGATAATTTTTATTACATGATTTCGTTTTTTCACATCCGTTTTTCATTAGGTATATGAATTTATGTCCGTTTTCGGTTAACCTTGACAAGGGTCGTAAACGATGGGATATTGCAGCACAGAGGGCGGGCGCTCACCCTTTTTCGCTCGTTTCAGGTGATGGTTCGATCTCGAGATCCGGATCCGAACACCCATTTTTACTGGTTCAAACCCTGACCCTTTGGTTTCCTCGAAGATTTCCTTTTTTGAGGATTAACCAGAACAACCGCAAGTAGATGTAAACATCCTGAAGATGTTAGGAAATCGGATCCAAATCTCAAAGGAGGCAGCATCCACACCAGATAGCTGGAAGGGAATTCTTGCGCTCTAGTCTTTTCGTTAAAGACCGTGAGGATTTACTAAACCGTACCACTTACCCCAAATTTGTTGTGAGATTTCCCTTCCAATTTTGAAGGGGTTTTTAAAAGCGGCTGTTGAAAAGAGTATTGTGGAGCGGGATGCAAAAAATTATTAATAAACAAAAACAAACTTCGGTTTGTTTATCTGCAATTACAGAGATTTTGAGAGGTTCATACAGGTTTTTAGCGATGTCGCAAGGATCTTGTGTGACTTGCAACACAAAGAATCCTGACTATGCAGAATCTTAATTTTATGTTTCGTGAACAAGTCCTTTAAAGAGGCAGCGGATCAGGGCAATATTGACACCTTGTTTGGATCTGACCTGGAGGAACGGCTTCAAAACGCCATAGACATGGAACGGTCTATAGACAAGATCTCAAGAAGAAGAAACCTGGCAATAAACCTTCAACAAAGGTCAAAGTCCCGTCCTTCCAAAGGTATAAAAAGAATTACCCCTCTCCACAACAGCATCGACACAGACAGACAGAATTAACCCGATCTCGATCAGTAAGTATTGGTGGTCGTTTACAGTTTTTTACAAGGGAGTGGAACGATGTTTGTTCAGATTTGTTCCATGTTGGGTAAAGCTATACAATCCCTTTTGTTGAAATATTTTTTCAACGGAAAATTCCTTCGCAACTGAATGGTCCCTTAGGGAAAAGCTGGCCATTAGGAAGCATATTGCTTCGTTACTTGCGGAAGGTGTATCGAGAAGAACTCCTTGTGACGGGCAACTCGATTCAAGAAGCTCAAGGTTGCTTTAAATTTATTATAGAATATGATTTTTTCTTGACGTTCTTACTATCTGGTACCTGTATCTGGTATGTCGAAGATAGGACGTTGTTGTTAAAGTTTCCTTTGAGGGGATTTACCACTTTAATTGTCTTCCTTTTGGTCTTACCTCTGCTCCATATGTGTTTCCGAAATGAGGTCAAACCAGTTGTTTCTCATTTGAGGGCAAAAGGTGTTTTTTATCAGTCGTCTACTTAGACGATTTCTTACAAATCGGTAAAGACAGGATCCAGTGTTTAGGCAATGTGCAATATACAATCCATTTTTTAGAAAAACTGAGCCAAAAAAGGGTCAATTGCAGCCGAGTAAAATTTGTTTCTTAGGTTTTATACTTAATTCTGGTAATATGTCTATCGAACTTCCTTTTGATAACAAGGCAGGGTAAATAATCTGAGAATTACACAATATGGCCTAGAGAAATGCAAAGTTAGAGATTTCTCAAGCCTAATTGGAAAGCTTGTTCCTAGTTGTATTAGCGTGAGGTATGACTGCGTTTGTACCTAAGTTTTGGAAAGGGTGAAAGTCTTGGCACTAGCACGACTGAGTACCTGTGATAAAATCACGAATCTCCTATACGATATAAGGGAAGACCTTAATTTGTGGAAATATAATTTATCTACTTCCTTCAATTATATTAATTGCCTACATTAATAGAAAGGGAGGTACCTAAAGTGTTAGACTGGTGCATGGTGTCATGGACTGGTGAGACTCACTAAGGTATCTGGCAGTGGTGCCAAGCTGGAGGACTATGGATTCACGCTTCATATCGCAACCTCGCGATCTAATAATGCAGATTTCGCTTCCCTTTGGGTTAGAACCATATATGAAGTACCAAGTTGTACGTTACTTTTTGATTACAAAGAAATTTGGCACCCCGTCTATAGATGTTTTTTGCACCTAGAGCTACTATTAAATGCACACGTTAAATATCGTGGTTTCCGAAACCGTCTTCAATTACAACAGATGCATTTACAATCTGTTGTTACCAAGCAGTTTCCCTCTTTTTCACTTGATTTAGATGGTGTTGCAAAAGATATTTTTAGTGGTCCCATATTGGGACTGTACAACCTAGGTTCCCAATCTTTAAATGCTTAATAATATCAGAAATGACTACTTACAACCGAACTACAACTTATTACTCTATATTAAGAGAACCCCACATCAATTACAGCAGTACCGCACAACCTTGTATTGATTGTATTAAGACCAATGGAGTTTTTGCTGGCCTCTCTTTCCACCTCAACGTTGAAGCAATACAACACAAACCTGAAGAAGTGGTAGGTACTGTTCATCAAAGAATAGTAACTTTTTCTTTTCTTCAAGATCAAATATTTTGTCCTTTTTAACATTGTATTTTAACGAAGGAGCCTCAGTAGGAACTCTTAATTCGGTCACGTCTGCAATTTCTCTGTTATCTATAGAAGATTTTAAATTACCCTTTTATTAGACGATATGAGGGTTGCATAACTGAAAGCGTTTAAACCCTCGATGTAATCAAACTTGGGGACCCTAGTAACGTTTTAAAATTTTTTCTGTTATCTTGTATCTTGGATTTTTATATATTTTTATACCTTTCGCAGTATAGAGATTTTGGGACCTTGGTGTAGAGAACCTCGTAATTTTGTGGAATGCCTGGGAAAACGCATTACCAATTTTACTGGGGAACTCCGAGGTAGGTACCACTTACTTACAACAAAGGATAAGTATTGCTATACAACGTGGCAACGCAGCCAGTGTGATGGGGACGCTTCCAACTGCGATCCCCATGGAAGAAATTTATTATTATGAATTTTTAATCTTTAGAAATTTTTAATTTTTAGGCATATAAATGATGTAAAACTGTCAAAAAAAATAGGATATATCAAATTAAAATCCAAGATAGAATCAAAACATCAGGAAGAAACAAGAGACAGTATGTAATAAGGGAGTCAATTTTAGATTAATCGCAGGTTGGTCTGAAAACTCGCAAAAATTTGTAAAGTTTTATGATCTCCCACTGTCTTCAAACCTTGAAGCTTTTCGGTTTAGTGTTCTTGAGTAACCTACTCTTTCTTACCTTGTTCAGATTAAAAACATAATATTGGTTACTTATCTGAGTATCCCTTGTACGAATTCTTGTTTTTACCGCAACAGTGTTCTTTAAACATCTACATATTTATCACTCGGAAGAGAGCGGAATACAATTAAATGATTAAACGAACTTACCTTAGTTGAATCATAATTGTATGAAGATCTCTTCCGAGTGATAAGGTCCCACCCTCACCTACCCTGTGTTGCGGTATAGTTGCTTTCAAATCAATGGCGTATTGCATTAGCGTAGATCATGTAGAGACCTGCCTTACCTACATTTTTTCTTTGTTTTTTAAATGTGTGGCGCGTAACTCACAGATGAGCTACTACATATTTATCACTCGGAAGAGATCTTCATACAATTATGATTGAACTTCACTAAGGTAAGTTCGTTTAATCATTTAATTGTCTTTACACTGTTTAAACCAAAGGATACTTTACTCTTTGGTTTAAACATCAATTTACCACTACCTTTACCTTTAACATGCACAGTACCCATCATTTCCGATCTTAATAACACTCTTATATAATTCATCGAGTGTCGAAAAGAACTTCCTGTTATTGGTAATGTTAGTATCTTGTTGCACCCCAATGTACAATCCAGCCACTGTGATGCATATTGTTTGTAGTGATGAACATAACTTCACGATCATTCGCAATGTTACCATTATTTGTATCTTCCTTCTTCTTTTTAACTTTCCACTTTTGATAATTTTCACAGTTACTCTTCATGTGATCCGATTTTTGCAGGAGAAACACTCCGTTTCCTTGGAAACAGATTTCAATATCCGTTCACTCCAGTCACTATTAACCGCAATATTATAAGCTTCACGAATAACGTTTGCATTCCTTGCACTACCGCTTTCTTCCATTTTTAGTGAATAAATCAGTATGTACTTTATTCGATCGAATTTTTTCTTATCCGAAAATGCGTGAGTTGATCGTCTTCAACTGAAAGCCTAATACATGCCCCTGCTTGATCATTCAGCTTGTACCAAGCACCAATTTCTATTTGATTACAATCGATGAATTAAATTCTTTTTTTGGTGTTGGCGCTTTCTTCTTAATCACTTTCCACAAACCTTCCTTTATTAATAACAGCTCCATTTTAAACTTCCAGATTGAATAACTGGTGTTGTCCGATCGTTTCGCCGTGAATAATAAAATTGAGTTACACGTAAATTGATGTTCCTAATATGCATTCTTTAAAACAATATTTACAGAACAAATTTTCACTCGCTGGGCCCGCCACCTATTGAACTGAATGGATTTTACCGCGTGATGAAGAATTATTCAGGAAAATGGATAAAGAACTATATCTATTTATTTTATTTATTTATGTATAAGCAAAATTAGAACACTATTCTAAACAATTATACTATAGGTACACACTTTATGTATATGAAATTAAAGATGTGTGATCGCTATATCCCAATACACCTTTTAATCTTTGTCCTCGGGAGATACCATCTTAAAAATTTTAACTGAGAAAGGTATCGGGTGCTCCGTTGTCGACTGTGGCTCTAAAAGAGGCATATTTTTCGATTGCGCTGGTCCATATCCTGTCCATTATTATAGATGTTAAGAATTCAATTCTTGTATGTGTGTTCGCGCTTTCTCCGCGCCAAAATATCTGTGATTTACACCTAATTATAGTAATAGCAGTCAGTTTGCGCTAACGGTTTAAGATTCGGATTCTAACCTCACAGGTGGCGAGCTTCAATCCCACAACTTGCCAGTTTTTAGTGGTACAAAACATCTCCTGACTACCATGCTTCGGAGTGCATGTAAAACTGGCGGTTCTGGCAGCCATACCACGACTGTCGTTAAATCCCACTGACAGCTATTGATGCGATCTGAAAACGTTTGTATCTCGGGAGTGCCATCCATACAGTAATAACCTACTGTGTAGCTTAGTGGTAGAGCTACATAGCCGGGAGGTCGGGTGTTCGAACCTAGGCTGAGGTAAAAATGTTTCATCTGTGACAGAGATGGGAATTTCCTTAGATCAGTTTCGAGCATTCTGCCGGCTATTTCGAGTTAGGTTTTCATGAAGCTTTCCTAATTCGTAAGGACTGAAGACCTTCTGCAGGGGCACCTCGAAAAAGCATTATGCGGGTTACTCTGTAATTGCGCGCAAGCCTGTTGACGGCCCAGAACGAAAGAGGGACAATAAATAAATAAATAACTAAATACCTAATTATAATTACAAATGATCGCTTAATGCCAAAACAAAGAAAAATGATATCAATGATGGTGTCTATATGAGGTCAGACGGTGAAAGTATATAACATATCAACAAATTTTAGTTCGTTAAAATTCGAGCTGTGGTTTCCCCCCAAATAGGCCAGTCAAATTAGGAAAAATAGCGGAAATAATTGAAAGAAAGCTGAAAATTGGTATAGAGGTACATTAGGGCTTGTATTCGAACATACTAAAAGTCGGGACCAAAACTCCAATGGCTCGAGCCGCCATCTTGGAAAAAAGGTGCTCCAAATCACTTTTTCGCTGATATCTCGGTAACCGTGCATTCTAGCAAGTAAAGTTTCATATAAAAAAAGAAAGATAATAAAATTTTGTATTAAAAAGATGGTATGCACTTTTTTTGTATTGTCGTTATTTACGTCGATATTCCACATTGAATATAGAGCATAATCCTTTTTTTCAGATGTAGGTGCATTACTTTCAGCGCTCGCATGCTTTAAACATATGTTTAAAAAATTGACTGACATTGTTAAGGCCTGTTGTTTCTACTATATAGCTGAATACAAAAGATACCTGCATAAGGAAACTAAGAAAAATAAATATTGCCAAAATCCGAAGTCGTTTGAACTACTTGTAATGGATATGGGGCATTTACAAAAAAAATATATATCAAACTTGACTTCATTTCATAAAAAAAATACTAAAAATAATAAACTAAACAATTCCATTAACAATTCGCGAAATAGTACATAGCGCTGTTCCAGTATCCACACCTGAACTTTTTTCGTGAAAGCGGTATAGGTAGATATCTTTTTCATTTCGCGCGGTAGAATGGAATAAAGCCTTGGAGCAATGTACTGAGCACATCGTTTACCGATTGTTTTTTCAGACCTTGGAAAAAGTATATTATGGTCTTCCTGGCGTGTATAATGAGAGTGCATGTTGGGCAGTAATTTTGGATGTTTTTCTGAACTGGAGGATTTTGTTACAGTAAAGTTGGCGTAAATTCATTACATTTGATTCCTTATACAGGGTGGTGCCTAGCGCAACGCGGCACAGGGATGTCAATGGTAATTTCTTTATAGTCAATTACTAGCTCCCCTAATTATTTTAGAGCAAAAGTCTAAAGAAGTTTTTTAGAGAAAAAAATACTGCATCTGTTCATACGATTACTTATAATTTTCCGTTTTTCAAAACCGTAGAAATTAACAAAATAAAAAGGTTCATTTTTCAATAAAACAGATATGCCTTGGAATTACCTAAAAAATCAGCGATCACGTTTCATTATTTGCCTTTGACGTTTATTAAATTTATACTTGTTTATAAATTAGTTAGTCATAAAATTGTTTATCATGTATTTAACTGACGAGAAATGTTAAAGTTGTTTTATGCTGGAAATAATGCCCGCCAAGTAACGTGTGTATTTAGTGGTAAGTAAAAATCGTTGGACGTCAAACAACGATAACTTAGGTGCGATGCGCTTGTAGTTTGTTAAAAGATTCCCAAGCATCACTGATAAAAGTGTAATTTTTTATTTTGTCGATTTCTACGATTTTGAAAAACGGAAAATTATAAGTAATAGCAAAGAGGGGTACCGGGTACTC